TTTATCATCTCACTTAAATTTTCAATAGAATTTTAGTCTGGCATGGTGGCACACACCCGTGATCCCAGCATTTGGGAGGCTGAAGCAAGAATGTCGCTGAGTTTAAGGCCAGCCTGGACTACATACTGAGTCCTTTTCTCAAAAAGACCCCCAAACCGAAAACAAGAGACCCAGAATCTAATTGGGCCTGGCTGTTCAGCATGTGTCACGATCACAGCCTGCGCCACTCCTCCTGGGAAGGCCCCACAGGTCAGGGGTCGTCACGCCTCTCCAGCAGGCGTTGGGGCCCCTGTGGAGTGGGCCCAGGGCTGCTAATCCCTTCCCGAGGCCGAGGCCAACTAGCCAAGCCAGCTGGGGCTCTGGAGCCGGAGACAGTGACGCTGTATTTCCTGGGCAGGGGTGGCCTCAGAAGTGTTCCTTTTCTTATGCCTTAAAACTTTCACGTACCTGGCATGTATTCATTGTGAACACCTTGATCCAGGAGAAAAGGGCAGCGCATGAATGCAACTAAGAACGCTGCTGCCATCACGGATGACCCTGAATGTGCACATTCCTCAACCCATTTGAAAACTTCATTTTAAAATTTTCATTTGTGCACCTTTGCAGTATGCAAAAACCATGGTACTGTGACGGCTAGTTGGCAAACACCTCATACCCCAAATATGCCTTGATGCGTTTCAAGTTTAGAGTTTCGATGGAGACCACCCTGAGTGAGTTACAGATTCCGAAGCTGGCTTTTCAGATTAACTCTGAGTCTGCCTATTGGCCCACAGTGGCTGCCTGAAGAGCCAGCAGCTGGGAAAGGAACAGCTCCCCACACCGCTGGTCACAGCAGAGGTCTCAGTGATCCGTGACGCTGTGACATCCCGGATGGCAAGACAGTGCAGCTAAGGGCAGCGTGACTCATACAGAAAACCCCTACAAAGACAATCAATCCAGGGGCAGAGACAAATTTCCCATTAATCTATGAGCTGTTCTTGCTAGAATGCTTTGCTCCCTTGTGGCCAGGACCCTGCTCACGTCAGTGCTCTCCACTCCACGGTTCTCTACGTGGCCCCTACCCCTTCTAGAAGCTACAGATTCAATAAATAGTGGCAAACTCCAGGAGACAGTGAGAGCCCGGTGAGAGCTTTGACCTCCTGGCCCATTTATGGATTAAAATCTTGTCTTGGGCCGGGTGTGGTGGTGCACCCCTGTAATCCAGCACTCATGAGGCTGAGGCAGGAGGATCACAAGACCAGCCTGAGCTACATAGTGAGTTCCAGGTCAGTCTCAACTACACAGTGAGACCCTGTCTCAAGAAAACAAAGAAAGATCTTGTCTTGGGCTGGGGATATCACTCAGTGGCACCACGCCTGCCTCACAAGCTCAAGGTCCCGAGTTGGATCTCAGTACTAAAAAAAAACTCTTTTTGTCTTTTTTAATCTGTCTGCTGTACCCTTGGTCAAGTGACTGGGAGTTTGTGCAGCTTCCAATACTGTTAAAAACATTGAAGACAAACAGCAGTAATGTCTTTAATTTTACAAATAACCTTACAGAGTAGGGTGATGGTTCTATTAACATTCTGTTTTTTGGTACTGGGGATCAAACTCAGGGCCTTGCAGTTTCAGGGGACGATGCCAGTGAGGTTAGTCCCTGGCCCTAGAATTTTTTTGCTCTAATAAAAATTATTTTAAACAAAACCTCCTTATCTACAAAACTGTTTCCTTTTCCTTCTTCCCCCCACGTCTCTTCTCCCGCCTCCCTCGTTCCCCTCATTTGGAGTTTTTCTTTCCATTTCCCAATAGTATACATTTTTGCTGGGTGTGTTGCCACAGTCCTGTGATCCCAGCATTCGGGAGGCTGAAGCGGGGGAATTGCTGCAAGTTCAAGGCCAGCCTGGGTTGCACAGTGTGTTCACGGCCAGCCTGAATTACACAGCGACTATCTCTACAATTTAAAGTATTTATTGAATGGCAGAAATGTTTTCCAGAATCCAAATGTAGAACTGAGGACATCATTAGCTGCTACTCTGAGTAGCATCCAAGAGATTTCAAAATTACTGCTCAGCTGGAAAGCTAAAGCATGACTTAAAAAATGCTTGAGAGCCAGGCATGGTGGTGCATGCCTGTGATCCCAGTATGTGAGAGGCTGAGGCAGAAGGATTTAAATTCAAGCCCAGTCCAGGCAACTGAGTGAAACCCTGTCTCAAAATAAAAAGTAAAAATGGACTGGGGATGTAGCTTAGTGTGGAGGCACTGGACTCCATCCCCAGCATTGCAAAAACCCAAGACAAAACAGAACTATCAAGCAATTTAAACAAAACAAGAATGGCTTGTTTTATTTACAATAATTAATGCATCTTACAAATAATACATTTTCATTCCCTAAGCCTTCTGGAAAGTAATTCCAGTTTGTGCAATGAGTTTACAGGAAAATCTTAAGATATCGATTAGACATCTTCTGAACTCTGAAAGGTATTTCACACTATATTAATAAAGGACTTTTTAATCAAGAAAAACTGAACTGTTAACTATTGTCCTCTGCTACCTTTACCCCCAGTACAAACTGGATTAGCCTATGAAATACCATTAGATTTGGATAAATTATTCTCACTTCTCCTGCCCAATGAGATGAATGCACAAAGTAAACATGGTAAATCACATTAGTCACATTTTATTTCAGTGCTTTCTTTTTGACTCTCTCAACTGTTGCCGTGCTGACTGCAGAGCACAGGCAGGCAGCATTCCGGTGTGGAGAAATCTGAAGCCAGGATCCCTACTCCAGAAGACCTTGCAGGCAGGCCCAGAGACAGGCCGGGCAGATCACCGGTTTCCCCAGGAGGTGCGCTTGCTGTAGGGACCTGGTCAGTTATTCCCTGTCGGCAGCCCAGGAGCATCTAATCCAGGCCTCTGCAGAACAACAGGCTCCTCTTCCTTTCCTCCTCCCTGAATCACTACCCAGAGCTTGGTGTCTTCTTAGGTGATGGCAGAAACCAGGTCCTCCATTCAGGGCACCAGAAAGCGCTTGATGTCGCAGAAGCATCTCATGGAACAGGCAAAGGGCAACGACGTAATCGGGCAAGAGCGTGCGCCTGGTGCGTGGGAAGTGGGTGGATTTTATCACTCACACAACCGCCACCTCTTAGAGCATCAAGTCCATGTCCCAGCTCCGGGGCCAGAGAGAGGGCACAGAGGTTCTCTCCGAATTGGACCCACCCCACTTAGCAAGGGTGGCTGACGGGGGTGATGCTGAACTACAAAGATAAAAGCCTGGGACACAACAGTCACCAGAATTTTAAGATAAAGAAATGGCGAGGTAGAGTCGAGAGAGTTCAATTAAATTTCTGAGCAGAGACCTTTTGGCACACACTAAAATTATAGGTTCCCTATTAGATTCCTTTGTGTGAAACCTTTACAAAGTGCTGACAACTTAGGAATCCTCAGATCTATTTAGGAAACACATAAAACTAACAAAATAGAGTCATTTGAAGAAATCCATTCCTGGCACTTTAGCTATTATCTGCCCCCAGATTGAAGCAAATAAAAACAATGCTATCCATTTGTTGAATTTATTTTAACAAATCGATTTAGAAATACCATAGAATTAAACAAAACTTCTGACATGTAAACATACTGCCATGTTCCTGAAACAGATGTTAACACCTGATAAAAGTTAGTAACTGCTTGTTAGGAAAGCTGTCCATGAATAAGGCCAGTCTTCAGCAAAACTAAAACCACTCTGCTTCTTCAGCCTTCCTAGTCTGACAATGTAATACTATCAAACCACAATCAAATATAATAAAGACAACATTGGATGGATAGATCAGTACCATTGGTTACAGCTGTTAAACAGTTTCATTCTTGGCGCCACATAGAAACAAGCCAGTCACATCAAATAAATCATGGCTTTTTTTCTTTATCACAACTCACTAAGTGATGTTAATTATGGTCCTTGTCAAACACGTTTGGTAAAGGCTATTTACAGTGTACATGGCTGAGCATGCACTATTTATAGTTACAAAGATACCTGCCAGTTTATTACAATAGAATTACACAGTGCCTGAAAATGGTGAAACATCTCACACGTCATTTAAATCAATACAGTTTCAAGCAGAAAACGTTCCTTATTTGACCACAATTGCAATAATTACATGAAAATTCTTATAAAAACATGAATCCTCTTCAAGAAATTGATGCATTCTACACACTACAGGTTAAGGCAGTAAAAAAGTGTATTCCTGATAACTGGAGGTCTTGACAATGTCAATTAAAGCTGTCTCAGTCTAGTTTTCATTCTCCACCATATAGTCAAAGTTCGTGAATGATTTCATTTTTAAAGTCAAAAAATTGTTAGCAACTAAGAGTTGACACTGGAAAAAAGTAACTGGTAGGGAAAGGAAAAGTTAAGATTTCGCCTGAAAGCTTTCAAATCATAAACAAGAGCATTATTTGTTAGTTTGAACCTTAAATTATAAAACAAATATAGTTTACCCTTCTTAATTTAAAATATACTGTACTTTGAACAATTCAAGTAATGTAAGACTATCAAAAATAACTTCATATGCCATACAAGGGTCAATTGCATTTTCAATTAAGAACTTAAAAACTGTAAACTAAACCATGCCAGTTTAGTTACATAAATGCTAAATGACTTTTTATTTGCACTTGTGAGTCCTTTAATAGAAACTGTTACCAACAAATATGTAAAGATATGGCAGATTATGCATTTGATCAAAGCACTTTAAGCATGAAACAGATCTCAATGGTAGAAGTCCGTGCATAAGGCCCCTCTCTGGCCAGAAGCTGTCACCCCTCGCGGCGGTCGGATGGGGCACAGCTGCTGTAAATGGGGCACTGCTGTAAAACCAGGAGGGCCTGCCTTCTCCCACTAACAGCATTCTCCTTCAGCTGAAGAGTCTTTCTCAAGTGTCTTCTAGCACTGTAGTATTTTCTGCTGACCTCTTAATTTCATAAATTAACTTTCCTTTGATTCCATTTTTATGGTGGTTGTGTTCACAGTTTTGTTTTAAAAATTGGTTTAAATTTATGTAAAACTCTGTACATGTTCACAAATTATTGCATAAACAGCATAATCTTCAAGACAGTGTTTGCAAACACATGTCCAATTCAGGAGAAAAAAATTCACGTTTCTCGTCTGGCTTTTTTCTTCTTTTTTATTTGTTTGGGAGATTCCCAATTAGTTTCAGACTTGGCTAAAAGAAATAAAGGGGAGTAGAGAGATGAAAGTCAGGAAAAATAAATATTGTTATGTCTCAATAATATTAAAAAACGCCTTAAAATTCTTAAATTTTATGTTTTCAAGTCCTAGCTATGAATTATTAAGTTGGCCTACATCTGCTTCCCTCCTTTTAAGCTCTATGTATTACCAGGTTTGCCTCTCCTGATAATTCAACCAGACTTTTTTTTTGTTTTTTGAGACAGAGTCTCACTATGTAGAGTTCAGACTGGCCTTGAACTCAATGTAGCCTAGGATGGACTCGAACTTGAAAATCTCCTTCCTCAGTCTGCTGAGTGCTGGGATTATAAGCATGGGCTACCATGCCTGATGTCAACCAGTTTCGACTAGAGAAACTACCATTTTCTTTTTTGAAATGGGGTCCTACTACGAGGCCCAGGTTGGTCGTTCTCTCAGCTGCCTGAGCAGGATGCAGAGTCCAGCTGGAAACCACCATCTGTTATGGCTCAGTGGAAGCGATACAACTCTGAACACTGAAGACAGCCAAAGGTGGAAAGAAAGAAAAAGGTACAGAACTTGTGGTCAATCTCTTAAAATCGCGTGCAAAGAGAAATGCAGAGGGATCAGACAGTCAAGCAGGCAGGCACTGAGGTGACATCTTTTTCCTTCTCGTGGTACTGAGGACTGAATCCCAGGTCTTCATACTGAGCTACATCTCCAGTCTTTTTTCATTTAACTTGAGAGAGGGCCTCACTAAGTCACTAAGCTGCCCAGGCAGAGCTCAAACTTTTGATCCTCCTGCCTCAGCCTTCCAGAGTGCTGGGATTACAGGTGTATACTACTGCACCCAGCCAAGTCTTTGTTCTTCAATTATTTTAGGAACCTGGCCCTCAAACTAAAGTCCAAAAGATTCCAAGGCAGCTAGCACTTGCACAGGAAGGAAAGGCTTGTTCATTAACCCTTTAGGCTCCTAAGACCACAACCTTCACAGATACATAAGAAAAATGTAGACGTACAGAAGGATGCAAAGGAACTGAAAAAGAGGGCTGCTTACTCTGTGAAGGAGGCACACTATTTTGCTTGGTACTTGACTTGGACTTATCGGTCTCCTGCAGCATCGGTGGCACTTGGGAAGAGCTCTTGTCAGAATCACTTTTTGCTGGGGGAACAGATGGCTCGGTGGGAACAGCAGGTGGAAGCGTCTTCATAGGCTATTTGGGATAAAATTATCTCAGAGTTTCTGTAAAATTTTCCAAATAACACCATCACAGTAATATCTAGGCCATTTAGTAGCAAGTAAACACTAAGATGGGTTCCAAGTAATTTACCAGCAGAAACAAAGCAACTCATGTCTGCCCTCTAGAGAGACAACAAATAAACCAGGTGTGACAATACTTATCAGATAGGCTGGGTAAAGATAGATGAAGGTATAAAATGGCTCTCAAATAGTGAATCATTTCAGTTTCATTAACTTTTACACTCTCCTGTTTCACTATAATAATAGTACTTTTATATTCTTTAGTAATTTAATGGTCTGTCCACTTTCCACATGAACACAATTTTTTTTTCTAAAGATAAAGCAACAAGCTTCTAAATGCCCAGTGGTCAGTACTCCCCTATCTTCTTCCCAACAGGGAGCGATGTTTCAGACGGGACCAACACTGGCTTTGGTTTCACAGCAGCACTGTGGGCACCAGGTCCGGCCAAATCTAGACTTATCTGGGTGGTATAATTAGAACGCTTGTAAAAGGACCCACAGCCCCACCTCACACACTACACTGAACCCAGGGAACTTGGCACTGAACTTTAAAGCTGGGGAATGCGGCTTTGATGCAAAGGTCTTGGGTTCAATCCCCAGGACTCAAATAAAATGCAACATAACACCAAAAACCTCACCGAGGAGGAGCCACGAGCGAATGTCAGACCAGGTAATGTTAGAAATGCTAACATCTAGGGTGCCCGGAGGCAGAGGGGAGTAGGCTGCCGCTGCCTGTGACCATTGGTCTGAATTAGAAATGAGGGCAACACTGTTTTTCCAGGCTCCACAGGTGTACAGTACAGTTAATTCATCACTGGGATCTTGTACCTTTATATGACAGGTCTTGGTTCTCATTTTTTCCCCTTGTCCCTGTCAAGAATGCACAATGTGAAAAGGACACAAGGCAAGCGATGTGAGCCCAGGTGCTTCTATCTGTGATATCTGAGCCCCGTCTATGCCGCTGGGTTTTCGATCTCTCTCAGTGGTCCCTGTATTTGTTTTATTACACTTTACATCTTCTTCCTTCTCTATATTCTCACTTATGTTAAATCACGGAAAGTCTCCAACATTCTTTTCAAGATGACATCTGAAAATGACTTAAATGCACCTTGTTATTTACCACGAAACCTATAAATACAAGAAGACTGCATCCTTTAATTTTTTCCCTGTCCCTGTCAAGAATGCACAATGTGAAAAGGACACAAGGCAAGCGATGTGAGCCCAGGTGCTTCTATCTGTGATATCTGAGCCCCGTCTATGCCGCTGGGTTTTCGATCTCTCTCAGTGGTCCCTGTATTTGTTTTATTACACTTTACATCTTCTTCCTTCTCTATATTCTCACTTATGTTAAATCACGGAAAGTCTCCAACATTCTTTTCAAGATGACATTTGAAAATGACTTAAATGCACCTTGTTATTTACCACGAAACCTATAAATACAAGAAGACTGCATCCTTTTACCTCAGCATTTACTTAGGGGATTTTAAGTATCAAATTCAAATAGGATGTATGATTGAAACTGTTTTACAAATTCAATCACCAGTAACTCAGTTTGTCAAAAGCTGTTTTCTCAAATATGAAAGTCCCAAAAGGTGGGATGTTTCATCTGTTTTGCTCTCTACTATCTCCCAGCACCTCAGGTAGCTTGTGGTATACAGTGGGTTTTCAATAAAATGTTTTGAATGGGCGAATAATGAACCTGGCAACTCTAACAGAATTCAACTGTCACTGGCCTAAACTTTTCAGCCAACGGTCTCGCCCTCTGTTTTCTGAGCCAGGTTCTCACTACGTAGTTCAGGGTGGCTTTGCACTAGCAGTGATCTTCTGGCTTCGGTGCCCCAGTGCTGGAGTAACAGGCGTGCACCACAGCACCCAGCTTACTGCTCTCTCCTGCTACACTGGCATCTTCCACAGAACGTGCATCACTCAAGAATTTGCTGCCAGATGTTACATTTTGAGACTGAACTGGTTATATGAAGGGCTGTCTGAAGTGGGTAGACTGGCCCTGGCTTCAATCCCTACATACATTATGTTTTTCCTGTTTACTATTCCTGGGGATTTTAGCAACCTCAGGACAGCCTATGGACAAAGGGGACTGCTGTACAGTGGCTCAACTTCTCAAGCTTCATTTACACAATGGAACTTACCTTTCTCCCCAAGATGTTTTGTGGTCTAGTCAGTGCATTTTATGAAATCATTTTTTTCCCAGTACCAGGACTCGAACTCAGGACCTTGAGTTTGCCAGGCAGGTGCTGAGAGCTAAATCTCCAGCCCAATTTTTTTTCGTACTGGGGATCCAACTTGGGACCCTGTGCTGCAAGGCAGGCGGTGGCACCACTGAGCTAAATCCCTGGCCCCATTTAAAATTATTATCATAGTGCTGCAATTAAACATAAGGGTTCATTCAATTCTTGAGTCAATAAAAGTATTATTAGTTAAAAGTTACCTGGCTATTTTTGACCAGTACTTCGGGTGGATCACTAGTGCTCATGGTCTTTGAGGAAAAAACTTTTTCTTGTTTTGGACGGGCTTTAGAGGTATTCACTGAAAGCTCTTCTCTAATCTCCTTTTCTAATTCTGTGTCCTACAGAGGAAAGCAGTCAATTAGATGATAAAAATTATTCACACTCTACTCATAAAAACCCATTTTGCCTTCTGTCCTGAAGATGACTTCGCCAAATAATTTCATTTCAGAAGCTGTCCAAACAACTTCTGGAACATGTACTTATCACTCCTGCTGTATCTAAGGATAATGCCTTAGAGTTGTGAATGAAAAAACATTACACACACATCCCAAATGGGAATTATTCCAATTTATTAAACTTATTCAAATAGAAAAAAGAAATTAATACATATTCTATTAAAAAGCACACAAGGAACCAGTTGATACCTGAAATAAAACATTTTAAATAGTCCTTCAGGGAACAGAATGTTTGCATATACAGAGCAGAAAGGACGCCAATAGAGAATCCCAAGACTGGCCAGGCCGTAGCCTGCAATATGATTTCAGGGACAAATCATGTGGTTTTCTAAGCCTCAGTTTTCTCAACTTTAAAGTTTCCCAGGAAAAATTTAAAGGTTGTACCTAAGATAAGCTTACATGCTTTCTTTTCTTTTCTTTTTTCTTGTACCAGGGATAGAACTCGGGACCTTGGGCTTAGGAGGCAGGCGGCGGAACCACTGGGCTAAATCCCCGGCCCTTTGCTTTATTTTCCTTTTGCTTCCTCTTTTTTTTTTTTCAGTCTACTGGGGATAGAACCTAGGTCCTCACTCATGCCAGGCATATGCTCTACCACTGGGCAGCACCCCCAGCTCTGCCCAAGTAAGCTTCAGTGTTGTCCATTCTTCCTCTTTTTTGAGACTTTTACAAAGTCTCAACAAAGTAATCGCTACGGTTTTACGTGGATGCCCCCGAAGCCTGAGGCCTCACCAGGGGGTGGTCCACTCAGTTTATGGGACGTCCGTCTCCTCTCCTCCGCTTCCCTGCTGCTCTGCCATGAACTTTCCCCTCTGCCTCCCGCCAGCCTACTATGGACCAAAAGCTCTACAAACTGCGAGCTGAAATACACCTATGTTCTTAGGCTGTGTGCTGGAGATTGTGTCTCAGTGACGAGAAACAGACAATAATTCTAAATCACATTATAAGGATCAGGTATGTACGTGCAATAAATACGACAGGAAAATTACTGTGAATTGTATTGTTCTTTAGCATAAACACACATATAAATTGTAGTCATTTTGATTTTTTGTAAACAAGATCAATTATCACATAAAATTATTTTGTGCTTAAGGCACAGGAGTTAAGTCTTTTTAACTGGCTTAGATAATCATACATGCATCTATCAAATACTGCTATTCTATCAATCTTGTTCAGGACAGTAGTGGGTTTAGATGGTAATTCAACATGTGATGTGAATTTAAGCTGAGCAGGTAGGTAGCTGTGGCTATACAGAAGGCTTACAATCTCATAAAATTATCAGAAGACAGCAGTTCATGGTCATCCTCAGTTGGACTTTGAAGACTCCAAACACATATCACAACTAAAAAGAACTTATTCCAAAATATGAACTTTTATGAATAGGATACTACTTGCAATGTCCTACGTAGAACTTTTAATTCTTTTTTTTTTTTTTTTAAGATTGGGTCTTGCTATGTACAGAAGTTGAGGCTGGCCTCGAACTCACTATGCGTCTCAGGCTGGCCTTAAACTCGAAGCCAGCGTCCTGGCTCAACTTCCTAAGTGCTGATATTACAGACGTGTTGCCATCACGCCTGGCCTTTAATTTAATTCTTTAAACAACCTAGGCAGTTAAGTAATTTGTGGAAAGAAAAAACCAACAACAAAAAAGCAAATGGGAGGATGGGAGTCTGGATACAGATCAGATTTCAAACTTAGAATACTTTATTCAGGGCCGGGATTTAGCTCAGTGGTTCTACCACCTGCCTTGAAAACGCAAGGTCCCGAGTTCGATCTCTAGTACAAAAACAAAACAAAAACAAATGAAACTCTCCCCAAAATCCCCTTTATTCACTATAAAACTTATCATTTTTAAAAAGGATTACCAGAATAAATGTGGAGTACTCATTCTCTGATCTGACATCCCCCACTCTCGCCCCCAAGTGAGGATTAACCCAGGGCCTTGAGCACGCCAGCCAAGTGTATGATGGAGCTCCATCCCAAACCCTTAGTACTCACGATCTCAAATGCTTGGGACTAGGAATGATGTAGATTTTGAAGTTTTGGATTTTGGAACATTTGTGAGGATGGCAGTGGTCAAAGAGTTTTAGATTTTTGGATTAGGTACATGTAACGCATTAATGAAAATTCAACATGTCAATGACTTTTGTCAGTAAGCTGAATATTTCAGAAAATATCTATACAATTTCTTTTAAGTTTTTTTTTTTTTTTGGTATGGGGGATTGAACTTGGGACCCGTGCTTGCGAAGCAGGCAGTGGAACCACTGAGCTAAGTCTCCGGCCCTATACAATTTCTCTTAAAAATAGTGCCACTAAATCCACAACCCAAAAATAGCATCAGTAAAAAGTGCTAGTTACTTGTGAGCCATAGTTTAACTCACAGAAATTGAAGAAAACCTTGGCTAAAATAGATTTCTGGTAGAATTACTAACAAAGAGTATCTGCCAATAAATATCATTCAGCTCCAACTAACAAGACAACCACATTGCGTTTGTAATATATTTTAATTTTTCCTATTAGCCTAAGCCGTGTTACCAAACAAACAAAAAGAAACCCCACAACAAAGTGGACACAGGGCACATGTCTGTAATCCTAGCACTCTGGGAGTCCAAGGCAGGAGCATCAGAAATTTGAGCCTCAATTTAGCAACATAGTGAACCTTGCCACGCCCCCCCAGAGTGAGGATGTAGATGGATACAAAGGCCCCAAATTCAAACCCCGATACTGCCGAAAAAATTTCATCAGTTGTAATAAAAATAGAAATGAAACTGTATTTCTAGTAATTTTACATTTGAAAATAAAGTACCTTTGATTTCATTTATTGAAAACTCAATGTTTTTTTGCCAGATAGAAATCAAAGAAAAGTGATTAAGAGAGCCAGCCCACGCCTGTAATCCCAGCACTCAGGAGGCTGAGGCAGGAGGATCACTGTGAGTTCGAGACCAGCCTGGGCTACATAGTGAGTTCCAGTTCGCTCTCAACTACATAGTGAGACCCTGTCTCAAACAACAACAACAACAACAACAACAACAACAACAACAACAACAAAGAAAAGTGATCAAGAGATCACAAGGAGTGATGCAAACAGTGTTTCAGATGGTTAAAGGTAAAAAATGCAGGGCAGAATACTAAATGAAATAACCAGTAAACTCAGAGTTAAGTAACTGGGTTTTCTTTTCTTTTCTAAGACAGGGTCTTGCAGTGTAGTTCAGGTTGGCCTTGAACTCACTACATAGTCTAGGCTGGCCTCAAACTCATGGTGCTCCTCCTGCCTCAGTTTCTTGAGTGCTGGGACTACACGCGTACACTACCACACCCAGCCACATGGTTTTTCTATTGTGCTAAATGTTACCTTCCAGTTTCAATTGTGTATGTGTGAAATACGGTACCTTTCCTATTTTACCATTTTATAATAAAAATACATGTAATTTTGAATTTATTTTTGAATTTAGCTATATATCTGATGAATTTTTAGAATCAATAGATTTTTTGACAGTATTATACATTAATTTTTTTTTTTGGTACCAGGGATTGAAACTCAGGACCTTGCGTTTGTAAGGCAGGCGTGGTACCACTGAGCTAAATCCCCGGCCCACAGATTAAATATTTTCTTTTTTTTCTTTTTTTTTTTTTTTGGTTTTTTTGAGACAGGGTCTCACTATGTAGTTGAGACTGACCTGGAACTCACTATGTAGCCCAGGCTGGTCTCCAACTCACGGCGATCCTCCTGCCTCAGCCTCCTGAGTGCTGGAATTACAGGTATGCGCCACCATGCCCGGCCAGATTAATTTTTAAAAATATGATTTTTCAAATGCTTTTCAATTAAACCTGATGTCTTTTTAAATTTTTTTTGGTACCGGGGCTCAAACTCAGGACCTTGTACTTATGAGGCACGCGCAGTGCTACTGAGTTACATCCCTGACCCTATAATGTCTTTTTTTTTTCTTTGACATAGTGTCTTGCTATAGTTCACACTTGCCTTAAAAAAACCCAATGTCTTATGTTGTCACTTATCTCCACAAAATCTTAGCATCTATGCACCACCTTTTACCTTTTCAGCAGGTGTGTAATGAACACTTATTGTTTTGGTATTTTACCTGTGCAAGAGAGTTATCTTCACCTTGCTTCTTCTTTTTCTTCTTCTTTTTTTTAGATTTCCCAGTTGTAAGAGCTCCCTCTCCCCTTTCTTTATCGTCATCTGAAACCTGAAAATAAAAGCAAACACACTAAGTGAACTAATTGGCTAAATTTTTATTATTCAGAAAATTAATAATTTTTCCAGTACCGGGGATCGAACTCAGGACCTTGGGCTTGCCAGGCAGCTGAGGCTCAAATGAACCCTGACCCTATTCAGAAAGGTATTATGAAATAATTTCACTCACTAGGTTCAATCTTTATCCACCCAAATCTAAGCATTAGTAATGAGTAATAAAGCCAATTAAAAATTAAAATCTATTAAAAATGTAATGAAGTATACAGACCTTTATTACACTGTCTACAGTATACTATTTTTTTATTACTCATTACAAGATTAGAGAGTTGTATAAATTTTCATGTTTTAAAAACTCACTGAACAGGTAATTCTTTTTTTTTTTTTTTTTTTGGTCCAGGGATGGAACCTGGGTCCTTGTGCTTTTGAGGCAGGCAGCAGAACCACTGAGCTAAATTACTGGCCCTAGTAATTCTGTTTTTAAAAAATTTTTTGGGGGCCAGGGATTTGGCTCAGTGGTTCTGCCCCCTGCTTGGCAAGCGCAAGGGCCTGAGTTTGATCACCAGTACCCAAAAAAA